TGGCGGCCCCAGCGCACGATACGCTTTGTCGCCCCGCGTGACGTCACTGCCGTGACGTGCCTCTGGCCGTGAGGCGTCACGGCGCGTCACGCGTAGTCGTCATGCCAAGGGTGGCCTTTCGGAGGGGACCCGGCACGGCGCTGCCTGATCCGTTCCGCTGTCCCCGCGGTAAACTACTAGGGGTAACGGTGGCATAGTATCGAGTTATTACGTAACCGATGACTTAACGGGTGTCGCCTGTTGCGTTTTGTGGCCTAAATCTGGTATCTCCCGCCCTCCCGACCTGCCCGTATTCTTGTCGGGACATCCGTCGGCATTTTCCAGCGGTAAATTCAGTTGCACAAAACTTCCCCGTGTGTTTGAAACGCTCGCCGTCTGCGTGTCTGGGCATGGTGTCAGCTGTTGGGCAACGCCGAAGTCGCCCGAGCTGGAAAATGCTGGCGCAACCCTGAATTTCAGAGCGCGAATCTGGTATTTTTAGCATCCAGATTCTTAAGGATCAAGGTTTCTGACAGAAGCTTTTTCTTGGGTATGGGAAAGTGTTTACGCCCCTCCGGACTGAGAACAAGCAAACGCAAATACTTGGCCGTGACAGCAGGCGCGGGCCTGGATGCGCATAATGAGATCATTCAGCTGTTAAAGCCACCTTTTATTCAGAAGCAAGAGTCAGCCCAAATACAAGACTCTGTTTACTGATGCAGAGTGTTAGGTATCCTCTGCCAACTGGTACAGGACTAGACAGGTTTTTGGGTTTTTTTTTCAGGAAAGAACTCTCCTCCCTGTTGTTTAACTTCATTGCTCATTTTGCAGACACATCTAAAAACCTCCTTCTGGAAAAGTTTGAAAGGACAAAGTCATGCTCGTTATTTACACAGATCATTCAAGCGTACCTGCTACAGAAAGATTTCATTTACTTGCCAAAATGTCTTGAGTTACCAGGTTGATTTAACTGATTCACTAGAAGGGAGAAGATCCGTGTGCTAAACAGAGAAAACAAGGGGTTAAATGGGGAGGGTAACTCCATATTAGTGTTGGTACTTTATTTTCCAAAGGCACCAATCCTGTAGCCTGTCAGTGGATGCCTCTGAATTAGTCTTTAGGTCTTGTTTGAAAAGGCAGACTCAGCATTATATTAGGTTTAATTATCAGTTTCAGTGACATTACGTCAAGACATGGTGGCTTATTTTCTTTTGAAGCACGATATTACTGCCTTTTCTAACACGAATAAAATGCACTATCTCTACAATTTTGAAAGGAAACAAAAGCTCCTTCTGTATTTATATCACATTCCCCCACAGCTACAACTACACTGGAACTATCTTTTGTAAAGACCATGCAAGTAAATCTTGTGCTACCTTTGTCTGATAGCTTGGAAAGCTTTTCCTTATAAAGTATCCGTTTCATTTGTGTACATACTGATCAAGTTTTCCTACTAACTTACCGAAAAGAAAAACAAGTAGATCTCATTTCCTGAGTCTTGTATATAAACCATGTCTTTCATTTTTTTTTAACTCCTGAAGCTCTTCTTCTCAACGTTTTCAGTATGTTTCCTCAACTACTGGCACCAAACGTGCACACAGTATTCAGAGAGGAATCACAGTTGTGCCAAATACTGGCCTAATGTAGAATCTGTAGGTGTACTCAGTATTTCCATGTAGCCACATCCAGAAAATGATCTTTTTTGCCAAGTGAGCCAATACTGACATAACTTTTTTAGACCCATCTGTTTCATTCCCATGATTTTTGGAGATAATTTATAGTCACCATTTCCTAGAAAGGAGCTACATTTTAGTGCATATACTCTTTCAAGGTGTACAAGCTTGCATCTCATCCTGTTAAAATAAACCACATTTGCTTATGTCCAGTCCATCTTGGCACTCAGATCCAACATAATCTCTCTTCACATTCCTCCAGCTGACAAACTTTGTCAGTTTGTCTGAAGGACTTACTTCATGAGCAGTTTTCTCAGGCTGATATAACTACTAAAATGGCAAGGACTATAATCCCTTTAGAAATACTCCCTGCTGCTGATGATTTTCTACTTAAAATATTGCAAGTTTAGATCTTCTAGATAGTCGGCTGCATACTATTTAGTATATGCAACCTTGATTTTGAAGCATTTCTAGTTTTCTTAGCCAGAACATCAGGTAGTACTGAATCAACCTCACACAGGACTCTTCTCTAGGACAGGCTCTCTGTGCCAGAAGAGTCAGACCAGGAGAGTTCCCTTGCAGAGCCAGAGCATATGCCCTTAGCAGCGGTGTTTCAGCTGGCACAGGTACCACTTTCTCACATTTAGAGATGAACCAAAGTCAACAAAACCTTTTATTGACCTAGATATAGTTACAGCAAGGCTTTTGCCATGTGTAATCATGTCCTGCGCAAGATGATTATGCTGGCAAAAGTCTGCAAAGTACTTTAAATCCTTATTAACTGAATTCTGAATCACAGAAAAAAACCAGCAAGTTGACTTGACAAGGTATATATTCCATATACCCATGCTTAGACTTGATTAAACCTGTAACTGAACCTGTATATACAAATATTCCATTAGTTCTCCAAGATCCACATTGTGTGACTGAACCATCTCATTTAGTCCTTTTTAACTTCAGAAGATTTTTAATGTTCAAACCTATTCCTACCAGTGCTAACTGGGAAATACTCAGCTAACCCTCTATCTGCTTTAAAGCAAAACCACACTGATATCTGCTATTTGACTGATATTTGCTTAAGAACTGTAGAAAAGTATTTCATCATCATGCAATCTGCCGGCAACATTTGTCTTTTTCCCCAAGCACAGAATGGAAATATTTAACTATATCAACCTTTTCTGTCTCTCTACTGTCAACTCCAGAAAATCATGGAATGTTGCAACATTATTTTCAAGGTTCTTTTGTTCTAATATGCATTGAAAAAAATCAATATTCAAAGCCACATTTCTCCTACACTTTATTCTGTTGGCCACATGTCAACTGTCCTATAGCTATATCCTTTTGCCTTCTTTGCAGTGTTAAAGGTCAGTCACTTTTATTTTTCTCCCAAATTGGCTTTTATAAATCTGCATAAAACCAACCATACAGGCCTCAAGGAACACAAGTGGCCCCTCTGCAAGAACTGTGAACATCATAAAATCCCTGGCCAACTGTGGTGTCATGACCAATTCAGTTGCAAAATCCAGTTCCACCTGTTCCAAAAGCATATAACCACAGTTTGATTTGAAGAAAAAATACTTTTTGATTTCTGCATTGTGAAGGCAATCTACAAAGGAGATTCATGAGCACAACCAAGCCTATGGTAAGGTAACTTGCCAGTTCCCCTCCTGCCTCCCAGGCCTGCATTCACTAACTGTTGGGTGACTGAATGATTATTGGAAATGAGCTTTGCTGTGAAGTATGCGTGGGTTCCCCCTGCCGACCCCTGTCCCCTGAGATGCAGTGCAGCTGTGTCATTTTCCACAAAATTGCACAGGATCACAGAAAGGTTGAGGTTGGAAGGGACCTCTGGAGGTCACCTGGTCCAACCCCTCTGCTCAAGCAGGGCCACTCACAGCTGGTCGGCCAGGACCATGTCCAGACAGCTTCTGAGTATCTGCAAGGACGGAGACTACACTACCTCCCTGGGTAACCTGTGCCAGTGCTCGGTCACCCCGGCGGTGACAAAGTGTTTCCCGATGTTCAGAGGGAACCTCCAGTGTTTCAGTGTGTGCCCATTGCCTCTGGTCCTGTCGGTGGGCATCACTGAAAAGAGCCTGGCGCTCTTCTGCTCTTGGCACCCTCCCTTCAGGTACTTACGTCCATTGATAGGGTCCCCCTGGGCCTTCTCTTCTCCAGGCTGAACAGTCCCAGCTCTCTCAGCGTCTCCTCATAGGACAGGTGCTCTAGTCCCTTCATCATCTTCATGGTCTTTTGCTGGACTCTCTCCAGTCTGTCCCTGTCTGTTTTGTACTGAGGAGGCCAGAACTGGACACAGTACTCCAGGTGTGGCTTCACCTGTGCTGAGTAGAGGGGACCTGCTAGCAATACTTTGTCTAACACAGCCCAAGATACCATTTGCCTTCTCTTCTTCAAGGGTACAATTGCTGGCTCATGTTCAACTTGGTGTCCACCAGGACCCCCAGGTCCTTTTCTGCCAAGCTGCTTTCCAGCCGGGTGGCCCCCAGCACGTGCTGGTGCCTGGGGCTCTTCCTCCCCAGGTGCAGGACTTTGCACCTCTCCTTGTTGGACTCCATGATATTCCTGTTGGCCCTTGTCTGTCAGGATCTCATGGTGACAGCGTCAAGGGCCTTAGAAGTCCAGGTAGACAATATCCCCCGCTCTCCCCTCATCCGCCAGGCCCGTCGCTTCGTTCTGAAGTTCATCAAGTTGGTCAAGCGTGGTGAAGCCATGCTGACTACTCCCGATGA